TGGTAATTGGAGCACTGGTGGCTGTGACCCCCAAACTGGGAGAGTGGCTACAGCAGATTCCAGGTAAAACATCAGAGGTCTCTGTCCAGAAGAGCGCAGTCCTAGGAACAGCTAAGATACTGCGCAGAACCCTCAAACTCCCAGGCCTCTGGTAGAGGACCCGAGCTTGAGGATGACACATACCACCCCACGAGGGGTGAGAAAACAGTTTATATATATATATATATATATATATATATATATATATATATATATATATATATATATATATATATATATATATATATATATATATATTTATTTATTTTATGCACAAAACTACGACAAAAATCTTACTGTATCAGGAAATAAAACAGCGTGATTGGTTGTAAGTAGCACAAAGACAGAGGGGACTCCGAGTCTACTGAAGAAAACCTGCTACTGACCAGTTTAGCTCTGGGGAGAATGTTACTATGATGACTGAAACAGAGGTTGAGGAAACTCTTTGTGAACTGGAAAAGTCAGAGTTTCCCTGTTTTCAGGTTTAGACAACTTGGAGTTTTCTGTAAACCTGCCTCATGAAACGGATCCCAGGATTGAGAACCTCTAATTTATGATATTTGATTCCTGCTTGGAAAACTAAATAAAACAAGTAAGCAGATATATATCAAACAAATAACAAACAAATATCAAAGCACAATCATAGCACATCTTCGAATGCTAGGAGGATAATTTTAGTGTCTTTATTTCTTGAGCACTTGATTTCGCTCAAATTTCTTGCTCTATTGTTATTAGACTGTTTCTGGGATAGTTATCTCCTGTCCTGGATCCCAGCCCTACAGAAACCAGTGCTTAATGATCAAATCTATCAGGCCACATAGGCATCCAAACCAAAACTCCTTGACCATTTCATTCAAAAGTTCCTGAAAAGGGAAATATCTTCACCTTAAAGTTTGACAGAATCATTTTTCCAGCATCTTGCTTTCAAACTCCTGTTCCAGCCCATTATTGATCACTGATCTAATTTTTCTCAGACTCCTTCATGCTCAATAACCCATTTCTCCTTAATCGAAAGTCTGCAGGTTCTGGAGCATTGCCCAAACTTGTTAGAGCTACATTTTAGTCTCACTTTCTTTCATATAACAATTACGCGATTGATCCAGTTAGTTATTCATTAAAACTATTAGTCAAACTACGTATAGTTTATAAAAGCTTTTATCAAAGTCTTTCCTATGATTTTATCTCATTTCTACATTGGACTCATCATCAGAAAGCAGTTGACAAATCACCTAATCAATAAAATATTCTGTAAAGATTTAAATTGTTTATTTTCTTGTTTTGTTTTTAGTCTAAAAGTAAGAATTTGTAGGTTATACAGAAAAAATACCATGTGTAGGAAAGTTGAGTAATAAGCATTATTTATTCTCAGCACTAGTGTGGTGTTAAAATGAAGCCAGAAGAAGGACAAAGATGCAAAACATGAAGACATGTCAGTGGGTCATTCAGGGTTCAATAGAGAGGACCTGTTTGGTATTATAATAAAATAAATAAATAAATAAATAAAACATTGATATATTGTTAAAACTGCTATATTATATTATATTGATCCTGATTAAATGATCACAGCTGGTTGACTTATTTTATTCTATTTCTGTGTTTTACTTTGGTTTTGCTCTGTTTGTTAGTAAATAAAGCACTTTGTGCATATTTACCACAACACCACCTGAGGCTTGTACAAACAAAGTGAGCTAAACCCACCCAGGATTACTCCCAGCCTATCCAGCTTAAAGCCCGGCGTACACTGTGTGATTTTTTTTTTTTTTCAATTCTTGCACGCATCTGCTGCTCACACTGTCCGACTGAACGCAGGGTTTAGTCGGACAGTGTGAGCAGCAGCTCATGATTTATGTTCGGCCCGACGCTCTCATGCGATCTGCATGCTCACACTGTGCAACTAAAAACCACTTCGGACTCAGCTCCGGAGTGAGATGGAGCTGTTCTGTAGCTCTCTATCCTGAAGCCAAACAAATAGAAGGGGGATATTAAGCTCACTATAGTTAACCACGCTGCCTTGACAATTTGTGCAATTTTGTGCTGAGGATCCTAGAAAGAAAGAGCGACGACGTCTTTGGAGAAAGGACGTGGCTGAGCAGGCGTGGCTGCTGCGGTCCGTCAATTTTGCAGACGGAGCTGCATTTCAGTCATTGCCTCCCTGCCATGCTGCTGTGTTTACATCTGAGAGGAATAAAAAGAAGAATCCTTGTTTGCTCATGCGCACTGAGCGATTTGCCCACGACGGTCCTTTCCTGATCAGGAGGTGGTCGTGAGAGGCTGATCACCGCTTGTAACTCCCTGTACACTACACGACCCACGACGCACGATCAAGCTGAAAGTCAGCCCAATCGGAAAATTGGACAGTCTACACTGAGCTTAACCCATCCAGAAAGATGGCAATCAGGATAAGAGATATTACAAAGCAAGTTATCAATTCACTTATTGAATCCAGCATTAAATGATCATAAATCTCTGAACACGCACATATAAATGGGCGGGTTCAAGGTTTCAAGAAATGGTTAGGGCATTGAGCTTGGAATCCTGAGGTTGTGAGCTTAAAACCCACTCCAACAGACTGCCACTCTGGGTCCCTGGGCCCCACACTGCTCCCTGGGTGCCAAAAATGGCAGCCCACTGCTCCCCAAGGGGAAGCAGAAACTTTATTTTGCTACGCTGTACTTGTGACGCTGGAAAAAAAAAAAAAGGAAGCAGACCAATAATAATCATGAGCAGAAAAGGGAGAGAGTGCTATATCTCCTGTGAGGAACAAAAACTAATCTTACAGAAATACAAAGAGGAACATGTCTTAATGAAAAGACAAACATGGTGGCATCAGAGATACCAAAAATTATTTAAAGTTATTTAACAAAGCATGTATGTAACCCCTCAAGAGGGAGGAGGACCTGGCAGCAGATCATAATCAAACAAAAAAACCTGTGGTTAGTTGGACTTTTTAAATCAATTATGTATAAGCAACACTAAAGCTGGAAGCTGATGCCACAATTGCATCATATTAATACAAAAAGGGGTTAGTGTAAGAGAAATCGTCCTGATTTTTGAGCCGTGTCAGAACTCAGAAGGGACAGATGGTAAAATCTACTCTGATTTTAAAGGGTGAAAGTCCTCAATTACCATGTAGCTCTAAATGTACTGAAATACCTCAATGTCTTTCCTACTTAAATTAAACTTCCTGCGATGATTAGCATTTTTGTTTAGCTCTTATACAGACTCTCTTCCAGGCAGAAAGGGATGTACATGATAAATGTTCAATTTCCCAGCAACATTATAGCCTTCTTACACATGTTTATTTATTTTTTTTTATTTACCTGGCAGTGCACAAGAAGCTGCCACACATAAATCTGTGATACACATTTGTGATACACGTTGTTCCAGGATCTGACATATATATGCCAGTCAGCCTGTGGAAAAACTGTATCCCGTATAAAAGTAATCGTCATCATGATTGTTTGTGGAAGACACGTTCCCATCTAAACACTTTTCTCACAGGTTGCACCTTGGATTTAATCTGGTCTTCAATTAAAAGGCACATTATTGTTTCCCAAGCAGCTGATTGGCTGGTGGGTGGAGCCTTTTATAAGATTCAGATCAATCCTGAACGTGAGCCTGACCTGGAGCAGATTTGCCGTTCAGAGTAAATTACCATGTTAACATGCCTCACTAAGAATTAATCCAACTTTTTGGTGCTGAAAAAGTCAGTGTTAACCCTGAAGTTACCTCTCTAAGCCCATAATCCTGCTTCATGGCACAAGCCTCAGGGGTTCATTTCACAAAGCAGTTTTAATCAACTTTGAGTCCAATCATTGACTCTGAATTGATCTAGCTTAAAGTTGGAATATGATCAGTCTATTCAACCGACCAGAACAACATCTGGAAGCTGGGGCCTGGGTTCCAAATATGCCATCAAACATGAACATATAATATGACCTCTTGCATATAAAAGACCAAATTGAGCATTACACTAATATTTTCTAAAAAATATAAATGAAAATAAATCAACAATTGTATCCAATATCATGAGCCACGAAAGGTCCTGTAACTGAAGACATGTTAAAGAGAGGTGGCTTAGTGAATGTGATGAGGTATTAGAACAGTCAGGCAACAGTCGGGTGAAACTAACTATCTATTATTAATTTTTCAGAATCAGAAATACTTTATTTTTCTTAGTGAAATAAGATTTTAACCATGGGCTATGAACACAAGAAGCTCAACATCCTACCAGACCTACAGGTTCAAGATTGCATATCAAAACTTAATTTTAACCAAATTAACTTCCATCAAGTGTACCAGATGCCCCTGTATTAACATTATGACTAGACGGCCAACTGGTTCCTACAAAAATAACAGTGACATTTAAAAGGTGACTCAACTGTGACCAACTGCTGCAAAGGCTGCTTTCATATGTGTGAGAGAGGAACAAAGCTTTTTTTTAGTTGACTGAAATAATTATAGCACACAGGACCAAAATTTGTGTTATGTCCTGTTATTACATTTTTTTTTCTTCAATAGCTGAGTCTCACTAAAGGAAACACATCTCATTGCATTGGTTTCAAATTGCCACTTTTTCTTTAGTGTTTTTGTGTTTTCAAATCAAATTATCCTAAAAACACAAGCTAACTGTGAGACTGAAGTGGCGAGGTTGTGTTGGCAGATAAATATTAGGTTTTTTTTCCACTGTAATGGTTTGCTGACACGTGGCCTCGCTGTATATGAGGTGAAAGAACGATTCCCAATTTGGCTGTGAATTTCCACAGATTTGTACCATTTACATGTAGATTGCGTTTGCAATTTTCGTGAGAAAACGACCATAGAAACGGAGTATTCATGGTCATAATAATCAGCGATACTCTGAGAAAGGCTGAGGTATAATCAGAGAGAAGTGCTGAGGTAGTGAGCAGGTTCCCAAAGGCTGCTGTGGAGGTGCTTACGATTACTTCTTTTTACTTTACCTTTTCTTGGATTTCCTGCTTCTCCTTTGTGGCTTCCTCCAGCTGGGCCTGCAGATCAGTGATCTGGCTCAAGTCTCTTGCTGACTATATCACACATACACAAAAAACAGAATTACATTTGGCTTATGATAAAGCAACAAAGGATGGGATGTGAGTGTGTAGGATACGTTTCAATTATCTTGGAACAAAATGGCTTTTAATACGAGTGGTTCATAAACACAGCAGGTTCAAACAGAGCAATTGTCATGTGGTTTTGATGTAAAGCAGATCTCTCTGATTTGAAAACACATGCTGTGTCTCATACACACACAGTACCTGCACTGCAGAAAAGAAATTGCCTCAGAAATGCAATGTATGATTTTTGTAAATATATGTTAAATCAATGGGGTTTCCACAGATATAAATATGATTCACATTGCAGTGTTTTAAGCCTCCTCATGTCTCAAGAAAATTTTATCAGACATAAAAAATAACCTAAGTAATCTGAAAGTAGACAATTAGATCAGAGCAAACAAACCTTTAGACATCAGACTAATTAGACATACAGTAATGAAATCAGACCTAGTGACATCCGAAAAAAACAGTTTTAGAACGAATGTTTTCAGACTAAATGGACTCAAACTGAAGGCAAAGGACCAAATGCCAACAGACCAAATCTAATAAATCAAGCAGATTTGGATAAAATGGCATGAGATGAGACACACTTAGAACAAAAACTATCTAACAAACCAATCTGAGGCAGAACCACATCAAACTAAATGAAACAAGAACAGAATCAGACTAAACAGAGTGTAACAGAAGGCCCGGTGGAAAAAGCAAAAGACTGTTCAGGGGCCAGTTACTGGTCTCAATGGTACTACAATTTGAAAAAGTTTGAATGTAAATACAATGTTCTGTCTTGCAGTACTGCTCCTGGTTTAAAGTTTTTTTCAAAGACTTCCAGGTAAGGTTCTGGAGTCCATCGTCATCTCTGCCGTTTCTTTGCATAAATACAGGCATCCACTTCAAAAGATGTGTAAACCAAAACAACCCTACATCAGTGAATCATAGGAAAAGGGAATACTTTTTAAAAATGAAAGCGCTGCATCTCCTTTAAGCAGAATTTAGACTAGCTACTGTGTCAAACTGTGGATATTCATCCAGCTAATGTTAGTTTCAGTGTTTTAAAATCAGAAACCCAATAAACTTAATTATTCACAAACTTCCTCTAAATACAGCAGGGAATCATGTCACACTTTGCTTTAGTCTTCCACCACCGTTTAATCCTATCGAAAATCCCTTACACCAACTTACTGTTTTAGCTATCAGTTAATTTAATTAAACTTGACAAATATTGACTGAAGTAGGATTTAATTTTTTAATTCTTACATTGAATTCTTGATTCAACTAAAGATCTTTAGAAGAAAAAACATATTTGTCTTAAATAATTTCAAAAAAATTAACAAACCAATGGACTTCGTTTCCAAGTTTGAAGGCATTTCACTTCCCATCCAGGAAGCTTTTTTAATACAAAATGTGAAATAATGGATAATAGTGGTTTTGTCCAGAAAATAAAATATGCCATAGAAAATATTAAAGCTGTTAAATATACTCAGTTTTTATGGCAATACAAATGTTGTAAAAACAACTACTACATCACAGACTTGCTATCAGTGTATCAACCCTCCAGACCACTCAGGTCTTCTGGCTCCAGCCTGCTCTGCATACCTAGAACCAGAACTAATCATGGAGAAGCAGCATTTAGTTCCTGTGCTCCACTTATCTGGAACAAACTTCCAGAAAACTGCAAAAGTGCGAAAAGCCTGAGTTCCTTTAAATCAAGACTAAAAACACATTTGTTTAGGATTGCCTTCGACTATTCTAGTTAAACAGTTCAACTAAAACATATTGTCTTTAGTCCAACTGTTTTTAATATTCTTTTTTGGTTCTGCATTTTTTTTTTTTTTATTATTATTATTTCCTACTTGCTTTGATTCTGTTTTATCTTCCTGTATTTTAATCATGTAAATAACTTTGCATTGTCTTTGTACTGAATTGTGCTATACAAATAAATTTGCCTTGCCTTGCCTTACTGCAATAATGTGTTATTTTTGTAACCTGATGATCTCATACTGGACTGTGACTCAACCAGACCAGATATAACCAACATCAACAGACTTATGGAGTCAGACTAAACAACATAAGATGAACTGATTTGGACAAAAGGCAACCGGCCAAATGGTACCAGATCAAATGGTGCACAACCAGGCAAGCTAAGAACAAATACTAAAGGGAAAGAGATAAAATGCTGTCATATCACACGCCATCGCAGCAAATGCTTTAGAAAGGATTCTAAACGAATGCCCTCAAACCAAACAGGCCAAATGGAAAAGAAAACACCATCAGATCAAATGTATCTTTGTTCTCATGTGTTTGGATTTTTTTTTTTTTGTCCTTGTTTTGATGGGGGGTTTTGTCCGACTTTGGTCTGAGGCAGTTTGGCTCTATTGCATTTTGTCTCAATTTATTTGGTCAAATGTGTCACAATGTTTGTTTTCTGAGACCCAAGGATTTTCTAAATTATAGACTGGTCTTTATTCTATTCATTAGAAATACTATTGGTCCTTGCTCTGACATTTGAAAGGCTTTCAAACAGATAATTGAAATTCCTCAAAGGTTTAACCCACCTGTGCAACTGCTGCTTTGTGTTTCTTCATCAGTTCATTCATGTCTTCCTGATCCTCCTCCATGCGGGACTGTAGGTCATTCTTCTCCCTCTGTAGACGGCTGAGCTGCTCCTCCAGCTAAGTGACAAACAGAAAGGGGGAAAAAAAGAGACAAATTGGTACAGAATGTCAGGATTTATTCATGATCTATCAAAAATGATAAATGACGATTAGCTGGCCATGCTAGGGTAGTCCTGGAGTTTCATTTTGCAGCATTGAAATATAATCTATTTCTGGCTGGAGGATGACACCAATTGGAGCTAATCAATTGGCTCATTTAACCCAGGCAAAGTGCACTGTGTGCACTGTACTGGTGATATCCTATTTTGAGTTTCAGCTGGTAACACCAGTTCTCAGTGTGAATTCTCTAATCTAGGAAGATATTTGCAAGACCTCCCTCACCATAAATGCAGCAATTAAAAACCAAAACAGACACACGGCACACTGTGTGTCATCCCAAGAGACGCAAATATCCTCCGTCTATGAGTCGGAAATGTGGGAAGAAGTCTCGTGAGACAGCTATTAATGAGCAGACTGAGAAAGAAAAAAATATATTCAGCAAAGCTCATTTAAACTTTAGAGCAAAATGTTGAAATCAGACATATGCCAAAGGGCGTTTATTATTTTAATATCCCAGCATGGCCTCTTGTATGCATATAAATGAGAACCATACTGCAATTTGATATGCACAGGCCCTTAAGTAATTACACACTGTTGTTTCTGGGTGGTGACTTCCACATAAGAAATGTGAATATTGAAAAACAAATACAGGAAAAACAAAAGTCTCAACAATGTGAAATGAGAAAAGTGTAGATACTAATGTGTTATAATGTACACCTTGGTGTTAACATCTAATCAGAAAAGCATCTTGCCTTGGACAAGTAAACTGAAAAGACAGAATAGAGACAGATGTGAAAACTTACCGCCATCTTGGTTTTTACCACATCTTCCATTTGAATATGCAAATCCTCAATTTCAATCTCCATGCCCTTTCGAGCTTTCACTGCTGCCGCACAAGTAAACTCTGACTCCTCCAGCTGTGAGGCACAGGGGGAAACGTGCAAGAAAGAAGCGAAGGACAAACGTTAGTGGGCCAAGATCAAGAATCCCTGCTGGATATGATGAAAGATTTCTTCACTGTTGCAGTTTCTAGACTAAACCCTCTATATCCAGTATATTTGTATCCCTTATTAGAGGCTGCTGTAATGTCATCTGTTGAGTTAGAGAAAATAACCTCTCAGGAGGACATACTTGATTTTTGAGCTGGGTAATCTCCCTTCTGCTGGGGGCGTTGCTCTTCAGGTGGTCCAGCATAATCTGTGCGTCAGCCAGAAGGACTTTTGTTCTCTTCAAGTCTTTCTTTAGCCTCTTCTCCGTCTCCACATCCCTTTGGCTAACCTGAATAACGAATTACCCTTCTGTAGTTATTACTGTTACACATGACCATCTGCCCTCTATTTAAACTCAGAGCACCTCTCAGGACTTAAAAGCATTTTATTTCCAATCAAGAGAAGTGGCCCAAGTTGAAATCACACACTCTACCGCACAGAAAGGTGAATGTAGTACCTGGTCCTTGGCAATCAGAAGCTTGGACTCCAGCTCCCGTTTTTCACGCAAGACTTTCTGTTTGTCGTCGTACTCCTCCTCCAGCTGTACCTCCATCTGTTTGAGCTGCAGGACATGGACATGTCAAAAGCACAGGAAAGGAATATCAATTATCATAGCTATTTTCTAAAACACCACTGTTTTAAGCCTCTTGCACCTATTGTCATCCAATAATATGTTTCTGCTATTCGTAATTTAGTTTTTTTATTCACTCACTGGCCTCTTTATTAGGTACACCTTGCACGGGGTACACAGCGTCGGTTGGACCCCTTTTTCTTTTGTAAGTGCCTTAATCCTTCATGGCATAGATCCAACAAGTTAATGGAATAATTCCTCAGAGTTTGGCCCATATTGACTTGACATCACACAGATGTAATGTTCAAGATACTATTCTGAGATTATTCCCGCTTTATGGCATGTTGTGATATCCTGCTGGAAGTAGCAATCAGAAGATAGGTACACTGTGGTCATAAAGAGATGGACGTGGTCAGCAACAATATTCAGGTAGGCTGTGGCATTGACAGGATGCTCAATAGGTACTAAGGGGCCCAATATGTGCCAAATGATGTCTCCCACACTATTATACTACTAGACCATGTCTACATGCCTACTTGCATTGATTTGCTGCCATGTGATTGTACAGTTGGACAGGTGTACCTAATAAAGTAGCCGGTGAATGTAGATTTATGGGACCTTCCAAAAAAAAAGAAAAAACGATATTTTTCAAATATGATTTTGTTGCAAAAAAAAATGTAAAATTTTACTAAGATTATCTGTGATAGATGAACATAAAACACAAAACCATTAAGTGAAAAAATAAGATTTATGATATTTAAACCTTATGTAATGAAATAAAAAATAAACAAAAAAAATAATGCAAGCATTTTTACCCATTTCATTTCACTTCATTATCACCGATTAAAATTTACTGTAGGCCACTCACTTTAAAATTCACCTGAGACACTCTTTATGGCATTTATGTAAAAGTAACAAACACAAAATTCATAGCTGAAAGCAATATAACAATAAAAAAACCCCAGCAAATACACAGAAAAACACATTGTGGAAAATAAAAACCTCTGGCCTCATTCAAAGCTATGTACATGATTAGAACTAAGTTAAACACAGTGGTGGGTAGAGTGCCAAAACTTTATTTCTGAGGTAATTAATAGAACTAGTTCAACATTTTATCTATTCAATTAAAAAGCAGTCACTCAGGAAATTGCATAAGAGTAAAAAAGCATTTGGTAAAAAAAAGCTACCGTACTCAACAACTGAGAAAAGTTTGGATAGTAAAAATATGATTTAAGGATAAAAGCTTATTTAAAATCTGAATATAGACAAATTTTTCCAAATACATTTTTCCAACCTAACCCATGATTTGTTTTTTTTAGCTCATTTGATCGCCATTCCACTTAACTGGTTGTCTTTACTCCTGAGGTCCTACGATGGGTGAAGTGTTCTGTTTATTGGGATGTTTTATTGTTTTCTATGTCTCAGTCTGTCCCACTTGCTATATATGTCATGTTTGTTTCCAAAAGGGGCAAACCTGGCTTGTTTAGCTTGTGAGGTTTGACTTCTTTTTTCTCCAAAGTGTATGTTTTTTACTTTACCACTGCAACCCCCTCCTGTCTGACTGATGATATTTCTACCAAAATGCTGGTGGTCTGACCAAAATAGACCAGAGGTCTATGTGGGTCAGAGCTTCGCAAGCAGAGCTGAAGAGAATGGTGTGCAATCTAACTGGCCCTATGCATTTTCAATGAGATGTTAGTGCCATGATCTGATCTTCTATCAGATTGGGTTCTATAATATGTCTGTGGTAGGTTCAGATCTTTATACTGTGACCATGCTTTTCTTGAGCAGAGGCAGGGGAGCTGAGCAGATTTCATGAAATGAAAATTCGGGGAAAATCAAAGTAAAAGACTGTTAAAGTCTGCAGAACTCATAGATCTGGGATGGTGCTTTAGCTTCCAGTGGTATGCTTATCATAAACAAATAACCAGAGCTATGATGAAATAGTTCAGCGGGAAGCATATCAATATAATATAATAGCCAAGGAGGTCCAAGCTATAGCCTAAAACTGAAAAAAATATTTTCCACTGATGATTTCCATCAAATCTGACAGAACTTCAGCTTATCTGCAAAGATAATCAAAGAAATGCTACCGTCTTATCCAAAAAGACTTTATGCTGCAAAAACAGTGCAAGGTTCTTTGCAAACAATGCTTCAGTTTTCGATCATTCCGAAATTATGTTGATCTGTTTCTTATAGTCACAACAAAATACAATGAGGGTATTAAATGCAAAATATGACCAAAATCATTGGATTTGGAAATTTTTCCAAGGAACTGTATACCTGTACTGTACCTTCATGCATAACAAAGAAGTACAAATTATTTTAGTTTTTCTGTCAGACATATTCTTTGGAAGAACACATTTTTTTTTTTAAACATGCTGGTTTATATATACTGAGAACATCAGTGTATGTTCTTCTGTGCTGATTTGAATGGGTCTGGCTAATTGATAGCTTAGAGAAGAGAGGATATGAATAAGAAATATGAATGCACAAAGACTGAAAATGAGCAACGCCCACCTTCTTACTGCACGACCGCCTGATTTCCTCCACCTCTTCATCCTTGCTCTCAATCTCTTTGGAGTGGGTCTGCCGCTGCCTCTCCATCTCCATCTCAAGTCTCAGCTTAGCCTGAGTGCAAGATAAGGACATGCAATGCAGCTTGTGACATAGATATACAGAGGCAATATTAGAACAAATCAATGATTTCTGAGAAATGTTATTGTTTGGAAAAGAGAACATTTAAAGTAAAACAGCTCAGAACTATAGAAGCCACAACAGGTACCTGTTCCAGCATTTGGATCGTTCCAGCCTGCTCATCCAACTCCTCTTCCTGATCTTTCACCTTCGCCTCGAGGTCATGAAGCTGCTTCTTTAACTTGGCCAGCGAGGCCCCGTCCTTGGACTCCTGGGAGGACAAATCCTGTAGTTCTGCCTCCAGTTGCTGAACTTTCACATTGGCGGTGCACAGTTCTGTGTCCTTGTCCTGCGGGTGGGAGGCACACGGTGAAAGTTTGACATCAGGACAAGGCAGTTAGCAGTAGATCACTCAGAGAGCGGGAGAAAGAGGAGGCTTACCTGCAGCTGCTGGCGAAGGTTAAATATCTCACCGGTCATGAGGTCTTTCTCTCGAGCCAGTTTCTCCCGCTGGCTCTTTTCTCTTTGTACCTCATCCTGAGCCTGGCTCTGCTCCAGGTCAAATCTAGGGCAAATCCGGATGCAAATACTAAGTGAAAATCTAAGCTTTGGATCAGAACACCAAAAAAATATGCAAACTATTAGATACAATCCACAGGCACAAAAGATAAAAAGAAGAATAAATTGGTTTGAGTTAGTTAATTTTTTTTCTAATTTGTTTTTAATATTTGTCAAAAAAATTAGCTCTGAATCAATTTAAATTAGATGTATAACTTGGTGAAAAAGTACCCAGAGAGCCAGCTCTTTATAACATCTTCTTATGTCTACAAATGATATCCACATTCACAAATGTGCATTTAGCTTTATCTCTCTCTAACACTTCTCTTTTATTCATTTTTATCGGCTACAAAAAAGGCCCTGGCTTTTAGTAGTCTACGAAATGTTTTTCTTCAACTATCTCAGGCAGAAACACTTATTGTTAGTGAACTTAACAGCTAAGTGTATCCTGCTGACAGCTTGTCGTAATTCCCTGTATTTCCCTCTGAAGTGCAGCTGAAAATAATTTCACCCGCAGAGCATCTTCAATTAGCCACAGGGGAGAGATCACATTATGCCACAGCGATAGCTTCTTAAGTGCTTAAAGTCTAAGTCATTTTCTCCACTAATGCAATTCTGCAGATTACAGACCATCCCGGCCACTGTTTGAATTACAGAAAACTTGAGCATTATGTGAGCGGGCCTGTGCGTTGGCCATGGAGAAAACAGGGCTTGAAATTCTCTGTGATGTGAGTTTGTAATTAAAAAGACGGAAGAGGAGAAGCACGTTTGAAACTGACTTCCTCTGTTTTTTCTCCAAATCGTGGTTACGGCTCTGCAGGCCCTCCAGATGAAGCTTGGTGTCCTGCAGCTCGGCAGTCAGCTTTTGGCACTTCTTCTTCAGCTGCTGCAAAGAGCGCTGCAGATCCTCATTATCTGTCTGCAAATCAGCCAGCTGCATCATACACACACACACACACACACACACACATGAGCAAACATGTCTCTATTATTCTCTTTTGAAAGAACTGTATCTTCATGTTCTAAGCCCTATATTGATAGAATGTTCTGTATATGAAACTTTTGGTGCATTATATGTATTGAGTGAATATGTTTAAGTATATTTATGTTCTTTAATAACCTTTATTCTGTTTTTATTTGTAGCTGGTTTATTTCAGCTTTATTATTTGTCTTGTTTTTGTTTATGTTGTGAAGAACCCAGAAATATATGATGCAGGGAGCTGATCCAATATAAGAAGCAAAAAGAATTCACATAGACTGAGTAAGTAGTAAGGCCACTGTAGAAATTATACATTATATATATTTTATATATATTTTATTTACCCTCCAATGTTGAAAAAAATTATATATCTGATCTGTAAAGCTGTGATATTCATAGTCATAAATTATAAATATTGGTTTTCAGAGATAATGTAGAGAAACGAAACGAGATGAAAAATTCTTCAAGCCCTCTAATAGTGATGCGTAAAATTTACTAGATAGAAGTGTAAGTTAAAGATGTGGGAGATCCTGCTCTGACATAGGAAGAGCTCAGATCTTCTACATACTGTAAAATATTTATATGAGCATTTCTTAAATTTACCACGTGGCATTTTTTTTCTGACTTTGTAAAGTCAGAGTATTTTCTGCTAAATTTAAAAGATTTTTTTCCTGAAATTTCTAACTTTACAAAGTCAAATAAGAGCTTGTTACAAATCTGGGTTTAATCCTAGAAAGTTATAATGTCTTTGATCCAAATTTACAATTTCAAAATAGTTCACTGCAAATTTCAGTCATAATCTAGTGTGTTGAAATCCATTTTTTTTTGCATTGCCGTTCACGTTTCCAAATATATGCGACTTGTATGTGATCTCTTCTGTGAACTGCATTCATACAACGCAAGTTGTATGGACGCAATGACGCCACAAGCAAGCATGCTCGGTTATTATAGAAGAAAGCATGAATGGTAGTCCTTGAGCGCACCTAGTGATCTTTCTTAACCTTAAACCTCGATCTTTAAAGATGGGGGGGAAAAAAGGACTGCTTTCCGCATTATCAACCACAATGGTTGATGTTTTTCTTTCCGCTTCTGCAAGATTCAGAATAGTGACCTTTGTAGGGTATTAATGACGCTCAGCTTGGATGAATGCGACCTGGCCACTCACACACGGGTCGCATTTGTAAAGATCAGATTTGTATCGGAATCAGAACCACATAGCCAAGTGGCCTGGTTTGCATTATGAAAAAATCGGATCCGTATTTTTCAGACTGCCATGAAAAGATCAGATGTAGTTCGCATAGGGGCAAAAAAACCAACAAAAAACTCGGATTTGAGTCACTTCAAGCTGTCGTGTGAACATAGCCCAAGTCTGAGTCCAAAACCTCAGCATTACTTCAATCCAGAAGAGACATGAAGGCAAAACTAAATGATCCATATAGATCTAAATCTGTAATTATATAAATAATTCCAGATCTAAGTAAGTGAAGACCACTGTTTTGTATTGCTAGCTGTGACTGGTGCACAAATTCAACTAAGAGTTAATTAAAGAGGGTTCATAACGTTTCAGTAAAATATAATTAACTGTGACTACTCTCACATACAATACCTGACCCCACCTCTGCTATGACCTTAAATAATTAACTAACACTGAGGACAGAATAGGCCATGAAGTTTTTCTTTTTTTAATATTTTTATATGAAAATCCTTAATGAAGATTCAGAATCTGCTAAAATTAGAACCAGCAGGTCAAAGTCTTATTAGTTTTTTTTGGCCAGTTCCTGATCTTTAGATTTTATAAGGTGTATCTCCTAATGTAAAAAAATAAAAATTAGGATCAGTCTCCTTTATATTAATAGACAAAGTAATTTCAGGTAATGCCATTTTTCTTTCTTGCCTTTCTCTCAACTTGTCGCTTGCCCTGCTGTTCTGTCTCCAGCTTGTCATCAAACTCCTGCTGGAGTTTCTTTTTGGTGAAGTCCATTTCCCGAATGGCTCGATTGTATTTTATCCGCCACTCGCCTCCTAGAGAAAAAGGCACAGAAAATGTCTTTGTGACAATTTGGGTGTCTCTGGACTGTAATGTGAACCTAGTGGGGGTACACAGCAAAAAGCAGCTCAAAAACTAAGATTTGATGGATATGGTGGATTATCGAGGGCACTGTACTGGCTTAGACGGTTCTCGCATTCAATGACTGACAAAATATAATTTTTCAGGAAATAAAGCTTCTTTCATCAAAACATGACCTTACAAGGTCAGAAAATTCCACAGGAAACTTACAAAGCAGCTTTGGGGTTTCAGGCCTAATCTTGAATAAACCACAGGTAAGAATTCTGAGCTCACAACAATGGCTGAAAGAGAAGGACACGTCTAAGTGGCACTTTCCGCACTTCTTTGCCGACCTTAATTCTGGAGCTGTCACAGGCTATCAGAACTAAAACAGCGGCCAGGCGGGCGTTCAGGTTTGGGTTCATTTCCAAGCCTTATCATTTCTGAGGCTGTCCATTTCTCCTTCACATACCAACACCGGCTCCTCCATCAGTGCTGCTCATTAGCATATATATAGCATAATGACAACTTGCAGGGCCACCAGCTCTGATCCCAACGATTACTTTCTCATTCATCTAAGAATTCTGATATGCTCTGTAATGGCTTGTCTGCTGAGGTGGGTTGAAGGGGCGGTATTGCAGGGAGGGAATAAAGCCCCACAGACAATAAGCTCCCAGCAGGCGCTCCATTTTCTTGCAGGAAAAAAGGAGGGGGGCAACAATCAGTGGCCATTAGTTTTATGCCCGGGAGTGAACATCTTAATCTACAAGCCTGAAATCCAAAACTGGGAAAATAATCTTACCAGTACTGTGCAAAAATGTGTTACTGCCACGTTTCCTGCTGCAATAGTCGACACATTCCTGCAGCTACAATTAGTGTAAGCCAAATTTTTAAACTGCGATTTAGTATTTATGCTGCTGACCTGAGCTGACATGCCCATTAGGGAGGCTTAGTCAGGCCACGCTGAGTGTCAAAAAGTACAATTAATTAGGATATTTGAAATAAATGTTTAAAAGCACTGTGCATGTTAGCAAAAATGATTCTGACTGCATCCGAAATCCTCACATTCGAAGCCAGTTTGAAGCTCAACTAACCAGAATCATCGTCATCCACCTCCCCATTGAGCTCTGATGCTTTTGTAAGACGTGCTTCCATAAGCTCCATTTCCTGGGACTCCATTTGTTTTTTCATGGCATCAAACTTAACCTGAAACGCAGCAAGTTGAAATTAAACAGTATTAACTTAGCAAGAATAGAAAAACTTGTTTTTCAAACAGTTGGAGTAATTTCATGTTTTTGTGAGAATCTGCCTGTAAGTCCTTCATATCCCTCTCCAGGCGGAGTCTCTCTGAAGTCTCAGTTTCCAGCAACTGGGAAGCTGATTCACTGGTGCTCCTCTCGTCAGCGAGCTCAGCCAACAACTCTGCAATCTGTTCGCACACGAGAAGTCACGTACACACAGTGAGGGTACTGCAACACACTCAGGAAGACTTGTATGCAAGTTGCAGATCAATTTTTTAACCAGAATGAAAAGGCGGCAAGACTCCACCACCAATCTCAAACACCATCCTCCCAGAAAGCTGTGACAAAGACAAAGAGACCCACCCTGCTCTCCAATCGATCTGTGTTCAGTCTCAATTCATTTCGCTCTTTCTCCACCCTCTCCAGCTTCAGTTTGTGCTGCTGTATCTCCTCCTGGAGCACAGATTACAGCAGTAGATTTATACATGTTATGAAACAAGGGAATTGTGAATTATGACCTAGGAAGTGTGAGCCATGCCATGTGATGCAGTTAAAAAAGTAAAATAAGATTGTGTAATTGAGCAAAATCTATAAGGGTAAGGTGTGAGATGTGATAGAAATGTCTGCTCACGTCTTTGCTTTTCATCTGCTCCTCGGTGAGTTGGACTTTAATAAGCGGCTGAACTGTAGTGAAGAGTTTCCACCACGGCCAGCCCTTCACACCACGGTTCTTCTTGATGTTTTTCTGAATGCACCTGATTGCAAGGTCCTGAATCTGAGCACATACGGAGAGAAAGTTTTCAGTGACAGGTAACTTACCTGTCAACATTTGTCACATGAGATCTAAATAGAACTGACTAGACTGGGACACTGGTATCAGTATGATAACCCCATTACTTGGAACTCACTATGCAAATATATTCTAATACAACTACAGTCTTTATATTCAACACATTACTTTCATTCAACTAATTTTATTAGGCTTCAACCACAAACTTCAATGCATTTTATTAAACTGTGTGACGGACCCTCTCTAAGTAAATCATAATTCAGGAGGAAGGTTGTAAAAACCTTTTTCTAAATAGAAATATGTAAAATGTGTGGTGAATTTGTATATATCTTCCTATTTGTCAATACTATTTCAGGTTCTTTTCTTCTGGGCGAACTTCCCTACAAGCTTTAAATTTTATGATTTAGCAAAAGTTCCTTGCAGAAAGTTCCTCAAGCATTAAATAGAGAACTACAGCTAACAGGGATTTTTTTAAAAGGAATGAGGTCTGGACATTCACTAGGACTTTGCCATACATTTTCATCCAACCCATTTTACATATTTCTCTGCTGAAACAGATTATACTTTTAGGATTTCCTATAAAACTCTGATTTGCTTATATTAACCTGCTATAAGGAATATACACAGAAGATGATGCTGGCATCTTATCACCATGGAAACGGTTTGTTCTATGTGATGCACAGAGTTTTTCTGCCACGCACTGAACTTTTTGCATGTTCACTTAAAGTTAAACTGTGTCACCTCTTAAGCTTCTCCAAAATGACAATGGACCTTTTGGGCTTCTTCTCATGCCTGAGTCAGTTTAAGACCATCTTTAAGAAATTTCACAGAAATTGCAAAAAAAAAATGTATTGAATTCCACTTGTATTTATAATTATTATAAAATGAGACCTATAAAAAAAGAAAATATCAACAGGGCCTTTGTCCTTCAATTGCATAAAACACAACAATGCATGACGCATGGTTATGTTTTATTTTGTCATTATTGTCATTATTATATTTTAATAACCATCAGTATTATCGCTATGGCCTTGACCCTCATCTTTTGTTAACTGCTTTCAAACTGCCTGTATAACAATTCCTTCAATCACTTGGAATGCCCACGACTGCAGGTGCAACTCAGCGCCTCTTATTTGGAATTTCTGTAGATCAGGGCCTATGGATAAAAACTACTCTGCAAGAACATGATTGTTTCATAATCTAGTTCTGCTTTAAACTTCACCACAACTTTATCTTTGACCTGTCTGGTTTGTTCCTCCACCTTTATGATCCAGTTTGTTTGGTGAGCTTCTCACTCAACAGCTGTTTTTGTTGTTTTGTTTTTAATACTCCCAACAGATACAGTACATCTCCATTAACTGCTTCTCTGACTTATAAAGTAAACTGATTGGGCTGGATTTAAATATTTAAGATATTACAAAAACAGATAAATTAAAAAAAAACATACATTTCCACTATTTTGTGTTACTCTGTCACAGAAAAACTTAATAACACAGTGCTGAAGAATGTTAAGAGGAATCAATAAATTTTTACTCAACATCTCAGCAAATTGATGTTATAAATAACAATGTAATAGTTAAATAATCACGAATGGTGGGGAAGGCATACCATAAAACTCTACCGGTAATCTTTCATCCTCAATACTGTTGAACCAAACTCAAAAAACACCACATCTCTAATGTGTCTGATTGCCAGTTTATAGCCAAGCAGTTATCCCAGGACTTGCCTGCCTCCTCTGGAGAGCTTCTGCAGAGTGCATTCCAAGGCTGGGAGCTAATTTTTGATTAATTAAATCAAACATGTCGGCAGCTCATTCCAAGTATTACACGATTTCCATGCTGCTTATGCATGAGGCTCTCTAGCAGTGGCAGATTATGGGCAAACCCAATTAGAGCAACACAATTCGCAGCATCAGGTACGTTTTGCCCTGAAGGTACTCTCTATAACCAATTAGGATTTGTCACACAGTGAAAGCTTTAACGTGCAAAAAAATGCAGCAATTCTCTGGCAGAAGATTTAAGTGGGTTTCACTTGTCATATTTAGTCTAAAAAGAATAGGAAACAAACAAAAGATTAGGCTCCATGAGCACCATGGATAATCATTCTGGTTCTCGAATCAAATAAAGACGGTGTGACAACTGTATGACTGTGTGAAGAGAGCTGCAGTTGGGGATGTAGATTAAGAAACAAAACACGTCATTCTCTCTGTTACTATTGAGCATGTGAATGCAGCCCTGGGAAAATATATGTATAGGGCATTTAGTACAAGCATGGCATTTCTTACATGATATAATTCCATTAAAAGATAACTTAACAAAAGAACAGCTGAAGTCCTTTATAGCAGATATGCCTGAAAGCTGTGATACATTTTATCATCAATAGCTTAAAAACATCATAAGGGCTATCAGTGTGAGCTGGTCAAAGGTATAAAGCGAGTAAAACCCCATTCTGAGCCCAGCAGGGGGCCACTACTCCTCACAGTTTGTAAAAAAAAAAAAAAAAAAGAAAGAAAAACAAACGTATCTGGTTGCCGGGTAAAGCGCACACTTTTACTATTTCTAAATTGTTAAGTTTCTGATGGAGACATTTGCAACAAAACCATATATTCATTAAATATATATAACAGGTTTACCCACAATTTGCAGGTTTCCTGCAAATATTGGGTAAACTGAAAACTGAAAATGTTATATGATTTCTATTAACTTATTATCTCTATTTAAGGACAGAAGGTTATTAAGATTGAGTATGTGACTCCTGTTAATAAAAAACAAATATATATATACATATGTTCCACAGCAGAAGGCCGTCTAGAGTTAATTTAGTTTATTCCCAGTTTATGGTCTTTCATCATCCATAGAAATAAACTGATTTAAAAAAGGAGTAGAACTGCAATATTTGCAAATAGCTTGAAGTAAAGTATTAATAAAATATAATGAAATCAGATTGCATTACATAAGAGGGTTGGTGTTTGTCTGTAAAATTCTGGGAATACCACAAGGAAAATAAAGTTACTTTGGCCAAATCCCTATATCTCTTTGTTAGAGGTTACCTTGAAACTGACAAGTTCAAAATGAATTTAATATGTTAGGAGATATGAGCTTTATTTGAACTGACTTGAATCACAATAAAAGAAAGACCACAGACAATATTTCAGATGTCAAAAACAAATAAATTCTTAAAACTTACTCTGAGAATAAAACAATATATAAGTTTTAAAAATAAGACATTTAATTTGCAAGAAACTCAATTACCGAATAATCATTTTGAGAACATGTAGCTGCAGTCTAAAATATCTAATGGACCAAAGTACAGAATCCACACCATCTCTACATAAACTCATGCAAAAAAAACCCTGAATGCATTAAAGTTTCAAAATAGGAGTTTATGAAAGTGACTAAAATACAATGATCTACAAAATGAATGATAATTATATCCATACATTTGCCAGAACCAATAAAATGGGTTCGGCAGAATTGATTATAAATATATATGTTGGCGTTTTCAAATTATGATTGCCAAGTAAATCCTCCTCGTTTTTGTTTTTCCATTTTTAACCCTGGTCATTTAGGCACACTAGATTAGATGTTTCCCTGCTTTTACACAAGTTATATCAATTAATAACGGAAGAATAGGCTTTGCTGAACTGCAATCATCTGAATCAGTTGTGCTGAAGCAGAGAAACATCTAAAAACATGCAGAGTAGTTTGCCTTGATGACCAGGGTTGAAAAATAATGCTCCACACGAATCAAAATCCTGTTCTTGTCTACAATTGCTCTGTTAAGACTAAAATAGAATAAGCAACGTCCTCTGCGCACTTTTTGCCCTGTGCGTAAAAATGCTCACTAATTTGCGTTTTTATTGCAAAATTCCACATTTTCTCTGTTTTTATCTTTTATTTAGCTACTCAGTGATTGGTATTGTTGTCCCACTGAGTTGCCATTAGATCTGCAAATATTCTTTAGTGAATTAAATCTGTTTGGATTGATATTTTTTAGCCAAAGCGCTACGTCCCCAGGCATTGGGGATGCTTGATTTACCCAATACAGGTATATTTCATCTGCTTGTGTATGCACTAAATAAAAAGAATTATGTTGTGTGGCAACAAAATGTGACTGTAAATTGGTAAATTGAGATGAAACCGCAATATTACATTTAGTTTTTATTGTTTATTATTTTGCAGTCAGGTTTATTAGCTTGTAACTCTGCAAAGCTGCTTTTCAAAAGAGCAGATTCAAAAGAATAAAAAAAAAATCTCAGTTTACTTAAGATTTTAATTATTTTCAATATTTACAGAACTGACAAGTCTACTGTTTAGACAGACAAAACAGAACTGCTTCACGGTCTGACAGGTTTGTTGGAAGAGTCCTAATCTATTTCTATTTTTGTAGATAAGCTGTTTTTGTTGCCTGTATCTCAGTTGTGCACCTTTTCATGCACACTGATCATTTATAGCAAATAAAGCCCAAAAAGTATTGACAGTTTTCCATATATACCTGTAAGGACAATTATTTACACTTAGTCCTCCTTCAGGCCCAATTTTTTATTTTTTTTTTTCATTCAGCTGTTGTAAACTAATAGAGATGGAAGAACATTTGAATTAAACAAAATAACCAAAATACAAACATGTCTGCTCACCTAAATCCAAACCATCCATAATAATATGTATTTAAAAGGTAATGCAAACTTATACGAAACCAAAGATTTAATTCAGGTAATTCCTCGATGGATCACTATATAAGCTAAATATGTTTTAATTGTTCATTGCGAAGACTAAACTCAACAGGAGCGTGGTAAGAAGAGAAAATAAATAAATGGAGGTGAAATACCTTCCCTGAGACTTATAACAGAAATACCGTACATTTCTACCCCTCTACTGCACCCTTTCCTGCATGCCTGCACTCCTGTTCTACACTTTTACCCCATCACCTTTGACAGAACATGACTGTTATCCCTCCAAGTACTTTATTATTAGCTTCCAATATTT